GTAGCGGAGGGAGAGCCCTGGAGACGCCGGGGGCACCAGGCCACGCCAGGCTGGTGAGTGCGGCCGCGGGGTGCCGGGAGCCAGGGAGCGGGCGTCGAGACCCCGTGGTCCTGCGTCCACTGGGTCTGGTCCGCGTCCGGGACTGTATCCCCGCCGCCCTCTCTTCCTGCGCCTCCCTGGTTCTAGTTCTCCGCGTCTCTGCCGTGGGTCTCTCCGTCTGTTTTCCCTGTGTCTGTCTGTCTGTCTGTCCCCCTCTATTTACTGTCTTGCCCTGTCTCTTTCTGATCTCTCCTGTCACTGTCTCCCGCTGTGTTGGTCTTTCCTGTTCTCTCTCAATCCCTGTCTCACTAATTGTCTCTCTGTCTCTGTCTCTCTTTTTGGACTGCCTGTCACTCAGGTCTTAGTATATGTGCTGCCAAAGCGAGCACTGTCACTTAGGTCTTAGATATGTATTTCTTGCTCCCCTCTTTCTCTTACCTCCCCCGTCTCTCTACCCAGTATCTCTATCAATCTCATCTCTCCCCATCTCTGTCTCTCCATTCTTGTCTCTCTGCCTGATATCTCTGTCTCACTCCATTGGGTCCCTCTGAGTCTCTGTCTCTCCCCACCTTTGTCTCTCCTTGTCTCTCCCATCTCCATTTCTGTCTCCGCATCTCCTTGTCATTCTCTCTCTCAGGTCTCTCTCTCTCACTCTCCCCCATCTCTCTCTCTTTCTTGGTCCTTGCCACCCACTTTGATCTGCTCAGTCTCTGCCTATCTTCAGTCAATGCCCATTTCTGTCTCTTTGACTCTGTCTCTCCTGTTCTTTCTACCTCTCTGTCAGTCTCTGAGAAAGCTCTTTCTGTCTTTTCCCTTGTGCCTCCCCCCCACACACACACACTTCCCTGAATCCATGACCACCTCCCCTTGAGTTGGGGGCTGCTGGGCAGCAGGGCCCAGCAACCGTAACGCCCTCTCCCACAGGCGGCCCTTTCCTCTGGGCCCCGCCTGGTGCCAGCCCCCCCACCAGCGGGGCGACTGCGCCTGGAAGCAGTAATGGAAGCCCTGCAGAGGCAGCAGGCAGCCAGACTGGCCCAGGGGGTGAGGCCACTGGCCCCTCCACGCCCGCCGCCACCACAGCCTCCCTTGGCTGGCCCCCGCACTCTGCTGGCCCCCGAGAGGGCCTCGGGGAAGGCTGGGGCTGAGGAAGAGGAGGATACGGGAGAGGATGAGGAGGGGGAGGAAGCTGGAGCGGAGAAAGAGGCAGCTGAGGAGAGTCATCCAGGAACCCGGGGTCCCAGCTCACCTTCCAGCCAGCCCCCTGGACCTCATCCCCATGAGTGGACCTACGAGGAGCAGTTCAAGCAGGTAGGAGCCCCTCAATGTCAGGCCCTCCCCTCTTCCTCCTCTCTGAGCAGAAGCCGAGCCTGTTGATCAGTAGCCCACTGACCCCCGCTGCCCTCTCCAGGATGGAAGGACAGAGACACGGAGACCCGTAGAGAGACAGTGGAAAGACCGAAGGATAGATAGTGACAGGAAGAGAAAGGCACCCAGAGACATTGAAAGAAGTGCGTAGGCAAACATTACGAGGTGCAGAGGACACCCAGAAGCATGGACGCTGACAGACTGGAGGCTCTTGGTGAGGCTGGAAGGAAAGTGGGAGGGATGTAGGAGCTTTTAAGAATTCTTTTGCCTAAGAAAGATCTGGGGACTAGGGATTCTAATGCCAGTACCATCCTACCCTAACTTACACATCAAGTCACAAGGTCATATTTCAGCAACGAGTGGGGGTGTCGGGCTGCCTACTTTTGTCTTTGGAAACGGAATGGAGGTTGCCACTCCTTTCCCAAGCTGAGAGATCCTTCATCTCTTCTCTGTCACATTCCCCCATCTGAATCCTCTGACTGGCCTGAGGTTTATGGGTGACAGTTCCCAGCCTGTGATGGCCACTACAGGCACAGTGTGACTAATGGGCCCCTGTGCATCTGGGAATGACAAGACCTTACTCATAGGGCTGCATTTGAGTTCCTCCTTCCTGCAGAACCCATCTGGATGTTATTCTAAGGCACTACTCCAGTCTGTCACTATGAAGGTATTCGCAGGGCTGTGACTGTAGGTGTGCTATGCTGGTGGTGTTACCCGTAGGGTGTTGGTCTTGGGTATTATTCAGAAGTGTTCATCTATGAGTAGTACTCTGTAGCATTAGTGTAAAAAGGAGTGTTACTTAGGGCTGTGTTACTCTGGAGATATGGCTCTAGCAACTGTTTCTCCTGGGTATAAGTCTGGGGGTTATTACTTGGAGAGTATGTATGTTATTTGTGGGCATCCATCTAAGACTCAGGGCTCAGTTCTTGTGGGAGCATAGCCCTAAAGGTGAATCTCTGAAGTCCATTACTCATGGATTTGTTTTTTGTTTTTTGGGTTTTTTTTTTACTGAGACTTCTTATTAGGGGATGGAGTGTTACTTATAGGTGTTACTCAGGGACTCTTACTCTTGGGTAAATAATTTACTCTAAGGATTGTTCCTCTTGGGTGGTATTTGGGAGATGATATTGGAGGTGGGGCTTCAGGTGACTGGGAATGTGTGGGATTACCCCTGGGCCTTTCAAGTCCTAATCCCATAGATCCTGGGTGGTACAGGGCCATTGCCTCTGTGGCAGCTTCTGTAGTGGGCAGGTTGCTGTCCCTGGAAGGAGATCAGACCAGGTGGTGGGGGCCCTAGGTTTCAATCCAGGAGCTTCTGAGCATCAGTCTTGCCTGAGGGATGGGTTAGAGTCACCATCCCCAGCCCTGGCACACAGAGATGTGGACAGCAAGAAGCCCTTGCAGGAATGACCAAGAGTGAATGAATGCCTCAGATATATCTGTCAGTTTCCTCAGTGTGGAACATAGCTCCAGCCTGACTTCCTCCCTACACTCTGTGCACACCCTGGAGGGCAAGCTGAGCCTCCACAGCTTCCTCTCTTCTACTCCCCAGATGGATAGTTGGTTTGACCTGCCCAGGGCACCACTAGCCAGTAGGGGGTCTCTGTGTATATTAGAAAAAAGTGCCCCTACCTGCACCTAGGGGGAGAGAGCCTAATGTCTGGGAGTTCACATTTCAGACCCTACTTACCCCTTCAGCTGGGGACCCTTATTCAGGGTACAACCTGAGTTGGGGTCCCAGGGGGGAGGGGAGGGAGCAGAGCTGGAAAATGATCTCAGTCCTTCCTCAGCTGTACGAGCTCGATGCAGACCCCAAGAGGAAGGAATTTCTGGATGACCTGTTTAGCTTCATGCAGAAGAGGGGTGAGTGGAGTGATGTAAGGGAAAGACCCCCACTTACCAGGCTTGAGGATGGGAGACCTCAGGGTTTAGTCCCCAGATTGGGTCCTCTCTGTAGATGCCTGAGCTTGGCAGCACCTATCCTTTGGGGCCACAATTGCGTCTTTAACCTCTGACCCTGCCCTCCTCCTCCACCCAGCAATTAATTAGTGGCCAGCCCACTGGCAGGTTAATGAGTGTGGGATCAATTGGGAAGGTGGGAAGGGGAACTGGTAGGGGGCTGATCT